TTGCAAGGGCTGGCGCCCTGACCGGTCGGTGCCGTGCTGCTCGTGTCCTCGGCCTTCTGTGCGTGAAGAGAGTGACACCAGCTCTCCATAAGCCTCCCCATTGCTTCCTGGGTCGCGGCGCTGCTTGGCGCAGAACGTGCTGAGGACGGCCATAAGACCGGCTCCCTGCTGGGTGGTGTACCATAAATCCTTGAAGAGAGGCCCTGCCTCAGTCCAGCGGCCTGATGGCCTAGGCCCCAGTCTGTCTGAGCTGAGTTAGTAAAAGCTAACAGTGTAGTAACAGGACTAGGAGACGTAAACACGCTCAGTGGGTAGCACCTAGTGGGAGAAGGAGGTTATGGGAGCCTTGACGGGGTGTAGCTATCCTGAACAACACCGACATTGCAGATGGGGGAGAGGTTATTTCCAGTGTCCATGGGATACTACCTGGAGTGCTGGACTGGGATGAGGAAAAGAGGATGTGCAACTGGGAGAAAAGTACCCTGGTGGTCAGGGGAAAGAGGTGGAGGAGCAATTGTTTCTTTTAGGAAGAACTATTTCAAAATAAGTGCTCTTGAAAATTACCTTGTGTGGAGCATTGACAACTAAATTAGACAAAACACTAGTGGGTTCTGTGGGGGAGTCCTGGGCTAAATCAGGTAGGCATACTGGAAATGAGACTCTAGATGTGTAATTGTGCCCGTAGTAACATCTGAAGAGGTAAATAGTGCTCAGTAATGTAGGACAGAGTTTTACAGTTCTGCAAGATAATGTAAAAGTACATTTTGCAGCAAGAAAACAAGTCTCCACCTGCAAAGTGGTGAATTACAGGGTAGGTTCAATTTAGGACCTTTTCCATCTTAGCAATGAAGCGTGACAAGGGTGAGAGATGTGTAGTATTGCTCTTGATTTAAAAAAATAGTGTGCATTGAAATACAGTACTTTTCTAGGAGGAATGAGATATTTTCAGACCCTGTTTAATATTATTTTTGATGTGTTTTAATCCTACACTGAATAAAAATGTCTTTTTCACACACTGAAATTTAAGCCAATTTGAGTTTTCTGTAATGTGTTTTCAGGATTTTGGAAGCAATGTACTTTTACACATAATCAATTTTATCACTAGTTGAAAAGTGCTATTGTATATTTGCATAAACTGTTTTAAGTCTCTGATGGATTAGAAACAAAGTCTCAATCCTTCCCAGCAGCCCCAAATCTGTCATTGTTTTAGCATCTTTGTAGACTTTGCAGGCAGTGATCAGAATTCATGGAACGCGCTGATTCAATACATTTACTCTCCATTTTAAAAGTAAATGCGGCTTGAATTGTGAGTAGTTTAGCCTTTATGTATTGCTTAACTGATGTATATTGTGTAGGTAGTGCTGCAAACACAGGACATTTGTTACAATTATCTGAAAAATAAAACTATTGGCGTAATCCCTCCTTGGAGGAGTTTGGAATATATGTTTTTATCTTAGTTGGCTTAAAAAGTGTAATTGCATCGTGTGAAGCAATGACAAACATTGAGGAATATAGCAGGAGATCACAGGAGCGTGCTCACACGCCTGAGATTGAGAAGGCCACCATGGTGAAAAATAGACACTGCTTTTACTGCCGATGAGGCGGCCTGGCCTGCAGAAGTCCCTGTTTTGAAGGAGCAGATTGGAAGGGTCTTTCTGGCTTTGAAACGGGAAATTGGTTTTAGAATTAAGGTGCTCGAGCTCATCTTCTGTCTGAAAGCCCAGAACAGGCTAAGGAGAAGCACGTGGTCTTCCTCTTGGTGCCGCATGTAGCTTGTCCCTTTTCCAAACATCCAAATGAATATCCACTGGCAATAAACATAACATTCTAATTCCCTCCCCCCCTTTGGTACTCAGTCATTGATCTGCCTTACTGCTGCACATCACGGTCCCACCTCATCTGTTTTGGAAGTTGCTCTGAAATTGCTGTTACCCTTTGTGAGGTTAGAAGTACGGAGAGGGGGCTGCTTGGCAGCATGTGGGACCAGTGAAGGCGCTTGAGCTGGAGCCTCCTTAGCTGAAAAGCAGAGGGGCTGCTGACGTGGCACATCCATGGTAGCCTCAAGGATGCAGCTGGCTTCCCTTGGGGGGCCCCTACTCCCGTAGGGACCGGGGGGCGGGGCGATGCCCTCCAGCTCTCAAGGAGGGCAGGGCTCTTGAAGCGCAGGGCCTCGTACTTGTGCTGCTTTTCTCCTGACGCGTTTTGAAGGCTTTTGAAGCAGGATGTTCTTTTTCATGTCCTGCATTCAAATACAAATGCGGGTAACTTGTTCTAGCTAGCTAAAACGGAGGCTTTAGCCTGTCAGTTGATAAAGCAGGATGAGGCTGTGCAGGAATGAAGTACTGTCATGTTTATGAGGGCGATGGGGTAGGGAATGTGAGAGCTGCTGAAATACGCCCGCTGCCTTGTCAACATGCTTTGCTACCAGGACTGGACAGACCTTTGATTAAACCCTTGGTACAGGTGGCCCAGCAGAGGCACATCGCAGAGCATCTTCTGTTGTATCCTCCTGGCATGTCCTGCGGGGATGGTGGTTGAGCAAGAGCCCTGGCCTACACACCTTCCTCCACTGACAGGGACATTATGCTGTTTCTGGAAGCTGGGCGCCTTGTGTATATGTTTGGGATTGCTGCCTTGGTTTTCTGGCCCTAAAGGACACAACTGATAACAGGAAGAGACTTCTTTTTTTAATGACATGATCTGGAGCTGGAGACCCTTGACGGAAGCTACCTATGTGTGCTCGATTTTATCCATCATAGCGTGCTGGCCAACACTCGTCTCAGCAGTTTGTCCTTTTCCTATATTTATGCAGTCCTTATTTTTATTAGTGTTGATCAAGAAGGCATAGCATCCTTTGCTGTGAAGCTGCATGCCTGTCCACTCCACCCTGAAATTGCCAGCGGGGCAATGGTTTGGATTGGTCTTTGGCAGCAATCCTTGGTCTGTCCCATCACCCTTCACCTCCATGTTTAAAGGTCAGGCTCAGTCCTGCAGTGGGAAAGATGCCACCACGTACAGGGCATGGGGCGGTGGACTGAGGACACTCGTGTCACACAGTGCAGACAGGAACATGGCTTAGTGACTTCTCCAGTGCTTATTTCCTTCTTATCTTGAGGGGTCTGAACCTACATACAAGGATGTCATCTCTTCTGAAACAATTTGGGCTGTACTCCCCAGAAGAAGGAAGCCATCACACAAATGTGGAATTTCCTACCTCTTGGTCGTGTAAGTTATTCCTATACCATAAGCTGTTTATGTAGCCTTGTGGAGAAGGAAGCACCTGCAAATGATGTGACAGCCTGTCCTAAGAAATAAATGCAATAGGTGTTATGAACAATAACCACTTTAGGTTGATAGCTACTATAGACCTTTCAAGTAACTGACCTTCAGTGAGATGAATTCAGCATCTCCCCAAGGGCTGTGTGCTCTGCCCAGGTGGTTTGCAATGGCTCTCCTCCTGGTCTGTCTGTAGCAGTTGTTACTGGTCTGCTGGTATCAAACCAGGCTCTGCTTTGCCGTTTAGCTCCACACGTAGCTTCAGCTGTTCCAAGGTGGGCTGCTGACACCAGAGGTGGTCCAGGCTTTCCTCTTCTTTGCTGTGCCTTCTCCTTTGTACCAGCACTTCTGCCACCTGATGCAGCTGAAAAGTAACACTACACAAAAAGCTGTTTCCTGGCCATTGTGAAGGGGAGAAGCACGCTGGTCTTTTGAGAGCAGCGCAGGTTTAGGTCAAGTGCCTCAAAAAGTCGCTCTGTCGCAGATGTTGTTTGGTAGGGAGCAGGCCATCAGGTTCCTGGGGGAGTAGCTGAGGCATGCCTGAAGACAAATGCTGGAGATGTCCAGTGGGACTTTTTATCTGTCTTCGTGGTCACCCTGAAGCTACTTAAATAGCCATTAGGCTAGTGCTTGTGGTGACCGCGTGCCATTTCATAAGCCGTGAAAGCAAAGGTTACTTAGAGTTGCCAGAAGTTGGGAAGAGGATGGTTATTCCACTCATGTCCTCAGTTGTCATGAGGGTGTTTGTCCTTCAGGAGGAGGACAGTATGTTATTGGATCACGTGTGTAGGAGTTAATCTATTTTGATAGCTTTGTGGTGGTAAATATTTATTATGGGGGCTGTAGAGATACTGTGCAGTAGGTTATGTCGGAGTAACCACCCTTGTGACGGGGCAGGCACAAAGACTGTGTGCAGGCTGCTGTTGCCGAGGCCGTCAGCAACCACGCTCGTTCAACTGAAAAAAAAATATTACTTGTTTTTTTTCCCCAAGCATTAATTCAAATTAAATTCCAACTGCAAGACAGTTTTATTCTGGGTTGGCTTCGCTGATTATTTCTGTAGGTTGACTTCACCTAACCTATTCCTAACTGCCTGTTCAGATGATCTTTTCAGCTGCAAACGTAAGAGATGTTAATTCAATGTACTCCTCTAAAAGCCAAGGAGACAAGGGCAGGTTTCTAATAGCTTTACTTCTTCTCCCAGATCTTTTAATCTCTTTATCTTATTCAAGCACCTGATTCAAAAAGAAAGAGGGGTTTATATTAAAAAAGAAGGCTTATATAAAACATAATGGTTATAATTGCAGTTATACCGTTAGATGTAGAGCTACATGTAGCATTTCCTAACTTATTAGTGGCAGCTGGACTTAGGGATGCTTCTGACTAAAAATAGAACAGAGTTTTTCTTAATTAACCAAAACTTTTCATATACTGTAAATGACTTTTATTTTGTCTATAAACCATGTCTTAAATGTATTAGTGGAAAATACTGACAGACACTAAGCTTTCTTGCACATCACTGTAATCCACTTCAAGCAGAGGATGGTAGTACTTATTTCTGCCATTTTTTTGTCCATTTTTTTAAGTTGCAACTGTGTAAGATGTAGAACTTTTTTTCTGAAATTGAAGACATCAGGAGATATGTGCTGTTTCTAAAACAAATCTGAATAATAATGACCTAGTAACCATAGGGTTATAGACGCGGGAGTGTGGAAGGGAGCTCTTCTCTTGCCTCACAGCTACTTCACTGAGGCCCATTTCATTCCCAACATGTTTATCTAACTTTCTTTTAAAACCTCCCCTTCCATTTCACATCTTAATTTTTTCAAAATACAGTACCTGTCCTGAGGTTTCTATCACAAAGAGTGTCTGTGGGG